TGCATATGATCGCCAAACCAATTTCCTCGCAATACCTAGAAAAGGAAATTTGCATTTTGCATTTTTTTAAATACATGTACAAGTACTTGTACATGAACTTGTACATGTACATGTTCAAGTGCTTGTACATACGTACATGTACTTGTACATGTACTTCTATACGAAAAACAAATACAGTATACGATTCTTATTAGAGGGTAAAAAAAAAAAATTTTTTTTAACAAAATCGAAAGTGTACTCAATTTACGCTTGAATATATTATTTCATCGCTTTTTTATGACCTTTTTGCACTATAATTTTATGTCACTTTGAGAATTTTTTTTTTTTTTTCATCGAATTTCTTAGCGGTATGATGAATTGATAAGCAATGATCATTTCTAAATTTATATAAGTTATTATCCATGTGATTATAAATCTTGATTAAAACTGATTAAAACCTGAATTACTATGTGGTGCGATCGACATTTTATATATTAAAACACAAATATCCGTCACACCATTGACCAATTGAAGGTTTCCAACGCGTGTCGTTTGTTTGTTAACTGTAGTCAGGTAAGAATTTTGGCTGAAGAATTACATTCCAAATTTGTCATTAGCAGAGCCACATGAATTCAAGTTTATTACTAGAAAGTTAGGTGGGCTTACTGAAAAGTCAGCGTGGTGCTTTTACAAGTGTAGTCTACTCTCGAGAGTTCAAGAAGTGGGTGAATTGAGTGTCGGTGAAATGAACAGAACTGTTTTTTTTTTTTACAGTAAATAATGGCACAAATCAATGCCCTATCGAACGTTAATTCTAACTAATTCACTCACTTTTTTGTCACCTGTATAGTCAGTAAGTTCTTTACATATGCATTTTTTTTTACAGTAAATAATGATACAAATCAATGCCCTATCGAACGTTAATTCTAACTAATCCACTTACTTTTTGTCATCTATATAGGAGGTATACATGTGGGTCTAAATTGTTTTTGGCATGCCGTAATGCCGTAATGCCGAAAATATTTTAGGCTGCCTAAACCGTAAATAATATCGGCTGCCTAAAATATTTTCGGCTGCCTAAAATATTTTAGGCTGCCTAAAATATTTTCGGCTGCCTAAAATATTTTCGCTGCCTAAAATATTTTCGGCTGCCTAAAATATTTTAAGCTGCCTAAAATATTTCCGACTGCTAAAAATATTCTCAGATACCAAAAATGTTTTAAAACATTATTCTTCAATAATACATTATCGATTATTCTCTGTTACTGCATTTTTGTGCATTATTAATTTATACTTACGTATCTGTTCTCTTTATAATCATATGATAATTAATCAAGCATACCTGTTTGCTACCAAAGATAGTAATTTCTTAATTCCTTTGCATACTCTTAAAATTTTTGCAAGATACAAAACCCGTATAATCCTGAATAAATTAAAATTTCTTGCATGTAGTTTATATTAAAATAGTTCAACTGATACGAATTACTAATTATCAAATTTTGAATTCTCACGCATTGTGTTTGGAATTTTTTTTTTTGAGTAGTTTCTTAAAAATAAATTATTAAAGCGCAAAAGAGATAATTTTATTTATTCATAAAAGTATAATAAATATTTGTATAATATCATAAATAAAATTTTTAGTAATGAAAATAATATTTAAAATTCAATGTTAAACATAAAAAATCCTTATTTTGTATTATTTATAGCTGCGTTAATGACTTCGTTAATATCATAATCAAGTTCACCCTCAGCTTCTATATCGTTATTGTAATTTGTTTCATTTGCTTGTTTTTCTGTGAAGGTATTAAAATCTATTATTTCATTAGCATCCAAGTTTTCACAATCAAGTTGTAAAATTTCTTCTAAATCGTCTTCATCAGAAACATAATCTCTATCAAATTCTTCAATATTATCATCGAACATATCATCGTCATATTCAATTGAATTCGAATAATTTTCCATTATTGGTTCAAACTCTGATTCCGAAATATCATGTGTAAAATAATTTAATTCATTTTGTGCATTGGTCATATAATATGTATGTAATTTCGCGATATTTGATACTTTTTCTACAGTTAATCTATAAAAATATAAGGATGCGGTTTACTTTATCGATAATGATTTTACTGAAAGTTCATTTAGCCAACATTATATAAGCTGTGTTAATATACCGTATAGTGTGGATTATAGTACCCCGGATACAATATATTCTACAAGCAAAATCCAAGTTAATACTCAGGTATTATACTTGGCAATTTTTTTCATATAAAAACTTTTTATCAATAAAATTAAATTGATATAACATAGTTGTTCCCTATTTATATCAAGTATTTTAAATTCTACTATATAATTTTTTTGAGGGGGTACTTTGATATTGAAGGGTACTATAGTTCACACTGTACGGTATAATTAATTGCGTAATGCTTGCTAAATTAAAATGATTATCGATGAAGTAAAGCAGATCCAAATATAAATAAATAAATATATAATAAATTATTATACTATATATATAAATTAAATACCTGCTTCTTCTTTTTTGAGTAATCCAACTTAAAACTGAAAAAATACGTTCGCAACTAGCACTATGCGGTGTAATCGCTAGTAAATATAAAGCAAGTTTTTGCAAATAATGGTTGTCTAATTTGCATCCATTCCACCAGGTTTGTGGTGACTCAATTTCTTCTACAAAACCAAAATTATATGGTGGTTCACATGCATCATATTTTTTAATTTGCGCTACTAATATATTTGCACTTGCTACTCCTCCTTTTCCGATTTTTTTCCATACTTCAAGAGCAGTATACATAATTTGATGAAATACCGAAGTTTTCATACCTTTTCCGTGATATTTTGGATGAAGAAAGTATGCTAAAAGGTAGATCTTTATGTCAAATTCTTTCCATCGCTTGTTATAAAATTTAATGCATTGTTTACGAAATTCTACATGCTCTGGTAAACTATTTTTTTCAAGCGTATTAATAGCAGTTGCCATTTGAATAAGGAATAAAAAAACGTCGGCAGTTGTTGTAGATTTTGATTTAACCATTTTGACGGCATTTTTAGCTAGTAATAATATTTTTGCTAAAATTTCCGCATCTGCCCAAAATTGTCGATTTTGTACAAGATTTCTTAAATCTAACGTTAAAGCAAGATTATCATCCTCTAAAATCTAATTAATTATGTACCAGTATGTATATACAATATAATTAAAATTTATAAATTAAATATACAACGATAATACTAATAGTAATATATATTAAATAATTACCTGTTTAATACAAACTTCTAGATTCAGAACTGATTGCACACAATCATATGCAGATGACCAGCGTAAACACACAGAATTTTTCAATCCACCCTTATTAATCATAAAACGGGTTATTTCATTACGCAAAATTGCTCCAGATCGATGCGATGCATAAAAAAAAGTTACAAAAGATTGACATTGCTTTAATATATTTTTTCCAAATAAAGTTTTACAAACAATATCATTACAAATTAACTGAACATGGTGCGCGATACATCGAATTGGTAAAATAGCTGGATATTTTGCTGAAATATATTTCTTAGCCAGCGTCATAGCAGAAGCAGCATCAGAAACTACAGCTCCAAATTTATTAGCACCAATATCTGTTAAAACCTTTTCAATTTCATCAGCTGTAAAAATTGCAGTATGCGATTCACTAGAAAAATCTTTAATTGAGTGCACATATTGTTTTTTATTAGCAGTTATAATTATAAAAGCAAAATAAGAATAGCCACGATTGCTTGTCCATCCGTCCAATGCTAATAATAAATAAATATTAATTTATTAAAATATAATATAATAAAAAAGAAAACAGATATTTTTACACCCTTGCAAATTATAAATTATTACGAAATTATGACAATACTACGATATATGATTCAAATAAACTGGCTCAAAAATCGAGTAATGTAATATGACACTCCATTTTTGCTATAATTATAATACACTTTGTGTAATACGTGCATGGTCAAGGGGTGTAGAAATACATGTTTTCTAAAAAAAAATATAGCTATTATAACTAAAGTTAATACCCAATTTAAGTTGCAACTTTAGTTAACTGAAGTCGCACTTAACTAAAATAGTTACAAAATAGCTATATATTAATTAATTATAAACATTACCTAATGTAAGATTATTTTCATTTTGAAGCTCTTTTTCCATAGCGACTGTAATCCGTGCTGTTTCAGAATTAAGCCAATCATTGCTTAAAGTTTTTCGATCAGGTGGTTTGTATGAAATACATAAATTTTTACAAAAATCTAAAAAAAATGGATGCTTGACAATCCAAAAAGGAATTCCACAACATACAAAAAGACGAGTTAATGATTTGTGACACAATTCTTCTTGTCCAGAATCTATTTTATTTATGGCTTGAAATTTACTATCGATTCGTGGTTGTACACCAGTAATAATATCTCTTTCTGTTTTTCTTTTTTGATTTGGTACAGGAAATTTTCGTAAAAGTTCTTGCTTAATATTAAGTGGAACTTTTTTACAATTTAACGCCAAATGCGTATTCATATTTATATCAGATGCATGTGGATTTTGTTCGTTACAATATAAACATTTCCAACCTCTATGACCATCACCCTTATTATTAATTTCATTAAAGTGATTATTCCAAAGTATATTTCTTGGTCTGCCCCTTTTTTTTTGATTTTCACAAGTATAAGTATCATGATCTAACTCTTCAATATTCTCCGCTGTTGAATCAGAGACGTTGGTTTCAGGATCTTCCATTATTTTTTTTTTGATAAGGTAATTTTAAACAAGCAATTACCTAAACAATTATTGTCGGTTTATCAAATAGATTTTTAAAGAGAAACTCTTGAAGATGGCGAAAGAAAATACTTATATATATAAAAAAATAGGGTAAGAAAAACGAACAGGTTTTGCCAAAAGATTAATATATATATCCTAAATACCTTTTAATTTATATTTAATTATACATGGCATACTGAAATACTGCAAATAGAATTCTACCAAGAATCTTTGGCATTATTCTTTATATTCTATTCTTTTATCTTTGAGGAAAAAGCTGTTGTCAATGTGTGAAAATATTTAGAATCAACTAAAAATTGTACGATAATATCGTGGGATTTATATTAACTAATCAAGTGGCACCACTTATTGAACTTCGTACATACAACGCTGATAAGTATTCATATTCTAACACTCAATTAAGAATGATAATCTTCACATTTAAGTGAACTTTATTATTAAAAGGTTCATTGCGTTATCTCTATAATAACAATTTGGCTATAAGTTTACATTTACATGTACCGTATATGTGAGTATACAAGACACGGGTCTGTTTCATTCTACCAGTTTTAAAGCCCTTTAGTAGACCCCGGATCTAGCACACGCCTAGAGGTCATATTGTGAAAGGAAAAATTTTAAGGTGTATACACATTTAGTATTTATAATAGGCAGTATAGCTATTTGAAAAAAACTGCATTTTATTGATAAGGATTCTGTAACTCACAGCCGGGCCTAATTCATGGGGATCTACTATTTTGAGGGATCTTGTATATACAAATACGGTAATTACATTAAGTTATACATCCTATGATAATCAGATTATCAACTTTCTTATACTCCAAAAGTAGAAAGTGGAGGAATAATTCAGTAATGCATATCACAATTAGGTTGTTCAACGATAAGATATGTATATTTAACACATGACGGTAAGAAATATTGGTCGCATGCAGACGGAAATAATTAGACCGACCGAAAATAATTTCGGCAGCCGAAATTATTTACGGCAGCCGAAATTATTTACGGCAGCCGAAATTATTTACGGCGGCCGAAATTATTTACGGCGGCCGAAATTATTTACGGCAGCCGAAATTATTTACGGCATTTAGGCATTTGAGGCAGTATGCCGAAAATATAAAAAATATAGGCATGCCGTAATGCCGTAAATCACCCCTAATTTAGGCACACATGTATAAATAGGAGGTGAGTTCTTTACATACGACTTTTTTATTTTTTACAGTAAATAATCATACAAATCAATGCCCTATCGAATGTTAATTCTAACCAATCTACTTATTTTTTTGTACTTCTACAGCAAGATCTTTACATACGACTTTTTTTTTTTACAGTAAATAATGATACAAATCAATGCCCTATCGAATGTTAATTCTAACTAATCCACTTACTTTTTTGTCACTTCTACAGCGAGTAAGATCTTTACATACGACATTGTTCTTTTTTTTTTACAGTAAACAATGGTACAAATAAATGCCCTATCGAACGTTAATTCTAACTAATCCATATACTTTTGTCACCATTATAGGGGGTAAGTTCTTTACATACGACATTGTTCTTTTTTTTTACAGTAAACAATGGTACAAATAAATGCCGTATCGAACGTTAATTCTAACTAATCCATAAACTTTTTGTCACTTCAACAGCGAGTAAGTTCTTTACATACGACATTGTTCTTTTTTTTTACAGTAAACAATGGTACAAATAAATGCCATATCGAACGTTAATTCTAACTAATCCATAAACTTTTTGTCACTTCAACAGCGAGTAAGTTCTTTACATTGTTCTTTTTTTTTTACAGTAAACAATGGTACAAATAAATGCCGTATCGAACGTTAATTCTAACTAAGGCCACGCAAAGTTGATTTTTCGTTTTGCATTACATGGATTTCAAAATTCCGGTCGGCGGTCGGATTTTTTTTTTTTTTTTTTTTTGCTTTTTTTTTTTTTTTTAATCTACAGTAAATTAATTGACTTGTATTCATATCTAAGGCTGTACAAAGTTGTTTTTTCGCTCTGTATAACATGGAATCAAAAAATTGGGTTGGCAATCGAATTTTTTTCTATCAGTTCTATCGGATAATTTCGGGAAAATAAGGTCTCTATCGGGTGATACCGGATTAATTGATGGAAAAAATTAAATGGCAAAAATGGAAGAATTGGCGCAATTGGAACTTCGAAAAAAAAAAAAAAATTTGAAAAATTGAAAAAAATTGGTCGGCGGGTAATGCAAAACGAAAAATCAACTTTGCGTGGCCTAATCCATAAACTTTTTGTCACTTCAACAGCGAGTAAGTTCTTTACATACGACGTTGTTCTTTTTTTTTACAGTAAACAATGGTACAAATAAATGCCGTATCGAACGTTAATTCTAACTAATCCATTTACTTTTTGTCGTCTATATAGGATGTAAGTTCTTTACATACGACTTCTTTTTTTTATAGTAAATAATGATAAAAGCAATGCCCTATCGAACGTTATCCACTTATTTTTTTGTTACCTATATAGTTTGTAAGTTATTTACATACTACATTTTTTTTTTACAGTAAATAATTGTACAAATCAAACTCTAATTCTATCAATTCACTTACTTTTTTGTCACCTATATAGGACGTAAGTTCTTTAAATTTGACTTTTTTGTGTCACCGACACTCATTTTATAGACATAGCATTTCACCGACACTTAATTCACTCGAGTCAAACCCGAAATAGCATTTGTTAATTCTATCTCACATGCCTAGTGATGTGCCGCGTACAGTACTATACGTACTGTATGTACCCTACGCTAAAATTTTTGCCGATCACTTTTGCCAGCCAATCAGATAGTAAAGATTTTGTGTAACATTCATGTTACTGCGGCAATATTATAGTTTCGATAAATTCTAGTCTTTTTATTATTTTCGGGTTATGAAAAAAGCTTTCCATTACATTAAAATATGCTGTCCACTAAACTCTCATGCGAAATTTCTAAATAGATTAATATATAGAATATCGAGAAAATATATGGCAATTTTTCATGAAATTACAAACTTCAAATTGTATCTCCTCGACATTCTATATTAATCTATTTAGAAATTTCGCGTGAAAGCATAATGGATAGCGAATTTTAATGAAATAGAGAACTTTTTTTCATAACCTGAAAAATAATGAATTATTACATTCACGTTAATAATAAAAATACTGCGGCAACAGTATAATTTCGATAAAATTTTAATTATTTTTCAGGTTATGAAAAAAATTTCTATTTCATTAAAATTTGCTACCTATTATGCTTTCACGCGAAATTTTAGATTAATATGTAGAATGCCGAGGAGATACGATTAGAAATTTGGAATTCTTCATGAAAATTGCCACCTATTTTCATGATATTCTATATATTAATCTATTTGGAAATTTCGCACGAAAGTTTAGTGGATAACATATTTTATTGCAATAGAGAGCTTTTTTTTTATAATCCGAAAATAATAAAAAGACTGAAATTTATCGAAACTATACTATTGCCGCAGTAATTTTTATGAATGTTAAAAATCTTTAACTAATTGATTTTACATAGGACTACATAATAGATTTGATTTACATAGTGCATCGAACACCCCAACGTACTGTACGTACTCTACGCCAAAATTTTTCAGGTATAATATAAATGGCACATTACTACACATGCCAACTATTAAATATTTCCCATTACAACGGGTTACAACGAGTTGTTCGCTAGTATTTAAATTTTAAAACAATGCCGAGCGAAGCGAGGCAAAACATAATAAATGTAAAACTGTGCTTGAATTGAGGCCGAAAGTTATTGCAATGGTAGTTTCAAAACTAGCTTAATGTATTTGTGTTCTATTTAATTACAAAAAGAGAATTTTTTAAAATGTTAATCAAATAAACCATTGTTTTACTGCTTCACTTGATCTTCTAATTATTAGTTAGCAAAGCCTCCCGTATATAAAGTTCTAGTATCTATGTTTAAATCGCATCTACATTATTGTAAATCTTGATTAAAACTTTTAAGTTAGCAATTGATGATTGTTGAAATATGGTAAAAAAGTGTAGAATTTAAAACCT